GAAAATTAATTATTAAATCTAATAAGACATTTATTTTTATAATTTCTTTATTAGAGTATGTAATTCTTCATGACTTTCTGTTAAATTTAAACTATTACCAGTACTTTACTGTCAAATTCAAACTATTGTTTCAGTTATGTTTCTGAAGTATCTTTTATATTCATCCAATTATAACTATATTTTTTCTCTCTCAAAAATTTGGAATAGTAGAACAAATTCATTGAAACAGAATGAAAATGGCATAAAATTCACAAATACAAAATAATTTACTTAATAAAAGCATTTTCATTTATTAATGTTATCAAACAACCTCTATTGCAATACTCATATTATCATCAAAATTAAAATTTTAAAGACATATATATTCATTTTTACTTGCAAATAATCACCAATTAGTCATTAAATTCACAATGTCACTAATATTCTTCTGATATATAGTTATACTAAATTTTAATTCATATTGGAATATATTCTTTTACATATTTTTTATTTAATTTGTATCAGATAATTTATATATCAGTATAGCCAGTGTATAAGTCAACCTCAAGATTTTCAGCTCAAAACTCTGGTAACCCTAAATCCTTTGTATAAGTCAACTTGTAACATTCAGTTAAGATTTCAGTAGGATAGAAGAGAAATATGGTTATGGTGTAAAGCAGTTTAGGCCATAGCTATATGATACACAAGTATCCCTCGTACAACACGGTACTTCTAGAACACAGTTTCGCTCTAACACAATTTGAAAATTGGGGATATCACCTGTGCAACATGACTTCCAGTTTCACTGTAACACAGTTTTGGAAATCTTCCATACAAAATTTCACAATTTTTAAGTGTAAAACTTAAAAATTGTGAAATTTGGTTGTAATGAGTAAACTTTGTGATTTGATATTTTTTAAAACTCAAGCAAGCACATGTGTTATCTCAAATTTGCCCATGGATTTTAAAATATTGAAATTTTCAAAATTATTTTGTACCTTCATCAGGTTTACCTTAATGAAAAATGAGGTCAAGGAAGAAAAATTGCACTATCAATGAGGTATCAATTTCCTATCAATGAGGTATCAGACTTTCAGACTTTAGCCCTTAACACAGTCACTATTTTGTTTTTATACATTAATTTTGGTATTTAGTAAAGTTTATTTAAACATTTTTAGATAATTTCTATTAAACTTTTTTTTTAAACTGTAGGTAAGCAATAATTCATAAAACAATGAACAAAATATGGTGGTATCTTGTTACTTGAACACAAATTCTGGAAAAAACACTCAGTACTTGACTGAACAAATGTGACCCTCTAGAAAAAATTTTTTATGATAAAAATAAAAAATATGAAAATGTTGCTGATATTTCCAATCAAGATCAACAAAAAGTTGAGATGATGATGATACCTCATAAAAAGAAAACGCCCTTGTTTAACTAATTAATATTAATACATAATACAGTACTTTTAGTTGCGTGTTAACTAATTACTGATTGGAAATAAATTATTGATTGCTTTAATAGATATACTAATCTTAGTAATGAAAAAGAATAGTGTACTTTTGCAACTTCTGGAACGTAACCCTATGTTTTGCATTAGTCCTTTCTTTCATGTAGCATGGATTCGCATAACACAGCACTTTTTCGGAACATAACTACCATGTAATGAGTAATACCTGTATATACAGCAGACTTGCAATCATCTAACCCACAATTATCCAGCCTAATCAGCCATGTCAAAGTTTTTTTTATAAACAAAAAGTACAAAACAATATATTTTAATTATATTTCTACAATTATTTTGTATTTTTTTTTATTACACTACAGTATTATTAAATAATAATATTGTGTAAAAATATGATTGCAAATTTTTCATAAAATTTAGTTATTTTGTAAATATTTTGTCATGGTAATTGTGGGCATCTTACCAGCTTCGTTTTGCTGAAAATTTTGTATTAAAATATTATTAAATGTACTATAAAAATTACAAATGAAAAATAAACCACAAAGGACACATTGATGTGTTTGATTGTATAGGAAATGCCTTATCTTCAATTTCCTTGTTATCCAGCTTCATAAAAAAGTAATGTGCAAACAGGCTCCACCTATCACTACCAACAAGCAACTACTAAAAATCTTCAGTTGTCTTGATAAGAACTCTACATCAGCTCTATTAATAATCACAGTCAAGTCAAAATCAACACCTCAAATAAAATGTTAGTTTACAAAATATTGCACTATGACAGTGCTACTATATTTACTATATGATAGTGGAATTTTGGAGAACATCTTTGCTTACACTTTGCCATTTGTATCAATATTATACAGCTGGTGTATCAGCTGCTGTAAATAGCATACTAAACTTTTATTATTATATTATACGTTCATTTATACTAAACTTTTATTATTATATTAATTTCTAAGTTAAATAACTTCACCAAACAGTAGTTGAAAATATTTGTGATTGTCAAAGTTAAAGTAAATGACATACAGTAATTTTTTTTATACGCACTGTTCTACTTGTTTACCACTCTGGTAAATACAATAGAATCCCAGAACATTAACTCTCGATAACTCAACATTCCATAAAACTCATTGTGTCATTAAAAAAAAAAAAAAGACATGTAATCTAATTTTTTTCTCTATAATGTACACTAGGATCAAAATAAATTATTGTTATTTACTAGCAACACTTGTTAATAGTATTGATTCCATGTGTCAACATAGAATTTAATCTTTTTTTCCAAGATTTCACTGCAAAATGTCACCATGCAAATGTCACTAACTTCAAAGTAACCAATGAATAATCAATAGTTTTTTAATAAAAATTTAATTAGAAATAGAAATAATCACTGTTAGTAGTTAATAGTGACATGGACTTGTGTATATAATACCTATACAAAAATTCTATTATTTATACTATCATCATTGCTATCCCTAAAACTCTTCATTTTTGGTAACTCATCAGCTTCTCAGTCCTCATTAAGCTTAATTATGAGAGTAGGGATGGGTAGATGTAATATGTTGTTTTAGCATTCATTTTGCCCAGCGTTAATAACCTTAATATTGAATTTCAAGCTGAGTGCTTTAGAATACACAAACTAAGGCATTCAATTGAGAGCAGTGTTAAAGTTATCCTTGGTTACTTTGTCAAGAAAGAAGTAATCAAGAATCAGGATCTGATCAAGATCAATTTTAGTAATCAATCAGTTTATCTTCATCTAAATGATATTTATCACAGAGCCAAAGTAGAAACTATTTATATTGAAAATGTCTCCAAAATAACCGATAAATAGATTTATAAATTCCAAGTTGCAACATTAAATTTTAATGTGAAACTGATCAAAGAGATTTTATCAAAGTGTTTGATAAAAGAACTACTGTATCTAATAAACATTATTGTAAAGATATTATTCTATGCCCTATTCAACTGTCCAAGGTGCTATGGGCAAGGAATTAGTTTTCACAAATGACAATGCCCCCATATCATACAGCAGTATTAGATAAACTAATAAAGAGTAAGGATATTTATCAAATGGACTGATCAGTGCACTCTCTAGATTTGAATCCCACAGCACATGCATAGATGGTTTGCGAACATACACTTGTATTGCTAAATGAAATTCACTACACCTCAATTTGTTTGTAATCTGAAGGAGGAGTGAGCAAAATTACACAAGAACTCTTGAATCACTCAGTGCACAGTATGACATAATGGTGTGAGAGTTGCATTTACTGTTCAGGGTGATCATATCCTGTACTAAGAAAACAATAATGTATCCTGTTTAGGAAATAATGGAGTATCATCATCACAGCATTTTCAAAAACAAATTTTTTGTAAAAGATGTAAATTCAATTTACTGTTCAATTTAGCTGATCCATAAAAAAACTAAAACATCATGTATCATAATATGATATAGCCTTAAGTTTTGGACACTTGTGTATAATTATTAATATATGTTATTTAATCTTTAAGCAAGACTATTTACTATAAAATATAATATTACTATATAATATAAGTCCTCATGACTATTTCTTAAGTTATGACTACAACTAAATGAGTAACAAACAAATTCACTCAAAAGACTATTTTGTATCTTATAATTAATTCAGGATGAAGCTTACGCATTCATGTTATTTAATGAAAATTTTATCATTCTTATTTTTCCTCAAATGAAAAAAATAACATACTCTTACAGTGTGAAAAACTTTAATTATGCTATTTCATTCTGTTTCATTTTTATATACTCTGTTCTACTATACATACTCACTGAGATACATCACAACAGTAAATTATAACAAATACTTAAGAATTTATTATTATAACAGTCATTTTTTTAACACAGTAGACTGGCATTACCAAAATTACAAATAAAACTTGCTTTATTATATCTTCACATAAAAAATATTTTATCAGTTTTAACTAGATATTATTTAGACCAGTACTTTATAATTTAAATTTAAAGTAAATTTAGAATACATGTTAATTTTTATATTAAATTTCTGATTTTATAAAAATACAACATTCTTCATTTTTGAAATTAAGTTTGAATTTATGCTATTCTTTTAATACATATTTCCATTATCATTCTTCAGAATATTATATTCTTATAAAATACACATATTTTGATACTTATTCATGTTAAATGTATCTTATAAAGCTAAAGATATTTCTATTTAGCCAAGTGCAACATGGTTAATTTTCATTAGTTTTTGCTAATTATTAATACTAACTAAACAAATTTTTAATATTTTGAAGTAATATTTTTTACTAGTTTAAAATACTATTTCATTACTTCAAATTACTTTATGCTTTAAAAAATATTTTTACCATATATTAAAAAAAATTTTAATTAAAAACAACTTAATTGAAAGATGACAATTTATGAGTTATTTAACAATTTGATATATGAATAAACAAAATTTTAAAAGCTGTGATGTAAAAGCATTATAAAAAGTTTTTCATTAAAACATATCCAAAAATATTTAATTCAAACAATAATACTTAAGTTACCTACCTACAATAATCACAACAATCACAACACCTATGCCAATCATTATAGCAAGCATCTGAAAAAAAAAATTAAAAGGTAAAGTAAACAGTAATAAAATTCAATAATCAATATATCCAACTCCATATAATAATGAAAAAATTTTCATATATTAGAAAATTCCATACTTTGAATAATGCCTATTAAAATTGAGAGATCAATAAGAGACAAAGTAAATCAATATTAGATATCAAACAGAGCAATTTTTCAATAAAAAACTGAAACTGCTATTTTAAAATATTTTCCAATAAGTTTTTATAGTTAGTAGGTTCTCAGTGTATCAACTATTATGGGAACCCTTGTAAGGGTTGATGTTAACTAATAGTTGATTTTATTAAATATTATGCACTTTGGCTTCAAAGAAAGTTACACTAAAGCCAGACTATCTACCAAATTATCAGACTATGATTAGGCTAAGTTAATAATTAGATATGAAGTAACTTGTCCAGAGGTAGGCAGCTACCATTTCACAATAATTTTAATAATTATAACAATGCTGCAAAGATATGTTAATACTCTTTATTTCAATATACATATCATTGTGAGACTGCAATTTCTATTCCAAGAAAAATTTTTTATTCAAAAATCACAAAAAAAATTGCCAAAGTAGTCATCAAATGCATATAACAAGAAAGATCTCAGGTATAAAAAAAAGTCATTTAAAAACCTGTTTAGATGACTAAGTATGGCTTTGTAAATGTATTTGACTAGTTTATCAATAAAAGTAAATACATCTTCAGAATTTTATTCAGTTTTAATAAATCAATGAATATAATCAACACAACAAGAAAGTTTTTTGAAGTAAGAATTGCTTTATCATACCATCATCAACTTTATCAATCATTTTCTTGATCATTATTACCTGCACACACTTGTTAAAAACAAAACTCCCTAATATAAATGTACAATAAAAGTATGTATAATACTTTCATATGATTTGTGTGTTTTCAGATAAAGCTGTTTAAACTTCCTGAAAAGATAAGAAAAAACAAACCCTCAAATTTTGAATACAAAAATCAGTTAAATTTATATTTTATTGAAACTTTATGAAAGCATTAATACAAAACTCAGCACTGTTATATATGAAAGAGACCAAAGACTGCTTCAAAGATGCAAAACTCATAAGAGCCAATGACGTAAAAGAAATACACAAATGCTAAGCAAGATTGATATTAATACAAATCTACTTTATATAGCTAATTCAAGTAATTTCATAACACAATGAATTCATAATAAAGATTACAACAAATTGTTTTATGAAGAAAACAATTATTTGAAAATGTCAACACTATCATATTTATTTTTAAAATAATTTCTTTTAGTGTCAAAAAATTATTCAGAAATATTCAATTAATATATAAATTACTACATTATTTTATAGAAAATAGTAGTCAGTCTGATATAAGCATAAGCTTTTAGTCTGTTAATTTCTTAAATACTGTAGTGGTAAATAACCAAATGAACCTGCTTACTTTATGGTTATAATTATCAGACTTATCAAACACCTCTTCAATTTCTGTAATTAATGCTTAATATCCTGAAATGCACTTTGGCTTTTTTAATAGCCTTCTTCAGCTGGGTTACATATACAAATCAACAATATAGCTTGTGTGTTTTAATTATAATATCATATTGTCAAACTGTATATGCAATCTGGATGAAGAGGGCTATAAAAAAATATCAAAATGCATTTCAGGATATTAAGCATTAATTAAAGAAATTAGAAAAGTTTGTGATAAGTCTGATAATTATAACAATAAGGTCAGCAGGCACATATGATTATTTACTACTATGATAGTAACCAGTGTTTAATATTTACTATAATCATATTTTCTCTTTATTCATTTACATATTTAACTCTTTTTCTATAAAATTTTTTCAAAAAGTAAAGCACATCAGACTAACTCATTTCCTTTCTTGTTGAGATACCAGCTATATTCCAATTAGAAAATTCTTGAGAATTCCATAATCCTGCATCCGCAGATGTGTAGGAACGCTACCAGTAACTCAACAATCCAAAATTATGGTTTAATTATGTTTATTTCGGTTGATTACATACATAACTAGCTCCATTTCACCAATACATACAGCAAATGACACAAACCGATACAGTGCATTAGATACAGGACATATTTTACCAATCTAATTGGTGAAATATGTCCTGTATCATGTTCATGCACTTTCATTTTTTAAGGTGACAGTCGATTCAATACAAAGTAAGATACAGGTAACCCCCATATAACGTGGCACTTCTATAGCATGGATTCACTCTAACACAGTTCAAGAATTGGGTAAAATCCTCATACAACATGAAATGTAATAAAGGCTGCATTCTTTTATAACTCTGCGCGAACATTCTAATTGTTTTCGTGGCTACTTTGAATGCTCTTTCAACAATAATCCATTTAATGGTTAAATTTTACAATTGGGACCCTTCTTTTGCCTCTAAAAGCTCATTTTAGAATTAGAGATTCCTCCATCATGATACTATCGATAGTGCGGGAGCCGCCATCTTTCTTTCACCGTCGTTACTAAATGCCTACAAACAGCAGTGCACTTCTGTTGCAGAGTGACCGCTATTAACGAACACACCCAAAAACTTACCAGTTGATGATGCTCATGCTAAGATTATCATATAGGATGAATAATCCTCTGATAAAAGATTTAATTAAATAATAAATAAGTATTTTACCTATGAAAAAAATGAATAATAAATCTGATTTAAATAAGGATTTAACTGCATGTTTTTTAATTTTTGGAACCTAACTCCCCTTTTCTCACTAGTTCTTTGTTTTGTATAACACGGATTCGCGTAACACGGCAATTTTTTGGAACGTAACGCCCATGTTATACGGGGATTACCTGTATTACTATTATGTTTTATTATCAGTTTTATGTTTAATTAATTTTGTACTTATACCTAGTTCTTAATAATTTTAGTTACTGATAAGGTGCTGTAAAATGTAAGTCAGCCTGAAATGAAGCTAGTTATGTATGTAATCAACTGAAATAAACACAACTAAACTAATTCTGGATTGCTGAATTACTGGTAGCATTCCTACACACCTGCAGATGCAGGATTTCAGAATTCTTAAGAATTTTCTAATTTTAATTAACACATTGTTTTAGAAACAAACAAAATCAATTTTTATTTTTGAGTCTATTTTTGAGATTATTTTGTTGAAAATATTATTAGTGTTAATTTTATATTTTATGGATGATTTTTATCAACAAATATTCAACGATATATTTCTCAAATAAATTTTCAAATTTAACTATACTATATAAAATTTTAGCTAAGACGACTGATAAAATGTTAAAAATTTCTGTAAAATAATTTGTTTCAGTAATATATATTTAAAAAGAAATTGTATAATGTAAAACATGTCCTTCAAAATTCAACCAATACAAGTAATTATATTATACTATATTCACAGAACAAAATTATTCTATGATGTTTTGTAATATTTTATAATGAGTAATTATATTTGGATATACAGGCAATCAACATTTCAATCTTGATTACCGACATAGCCAGTATAAATTTTATGTAATGTTCAATGTTCCAGAAATAAAATAAAGCATCAAATAATTTATTTACATGATGTAATATACTTAAATTTTATTATTTTCAACAAAATATACATACATAAATAAACAACCAAGCCTGAATCTTAATAACCAAATAACTAAATGCTGGATTTTTTAAAACTATGTTTAAAATTGAGAGGGGACTAAACTTTAAAGAATGAAACTAAGTAATTTGGTCTAAAGGTAGGCAGTTAAGCCATCATCTTGTACTAATATTAAAAATATCAATTTTTGAATATTCTAAAATAATATGAAATCTTGACTTTACAGTATTTCAGAACAAAGGATATAATTATAAGTAAATCTGATATAACAGAAAGATACAATTATGGAAGAAATTCACAGGAAAACTACACTTTTAAAATACAAAACATATTCATACAAAATTGCTTTAAAATATTTAACAAAATTGGAAAATAAAAATTTGAGTTGCAAACCAAGTTGGAAATTCACTCTGATATTTTTATTTTTGTCTTATATCATAATGCAAATATATGTCAAAAACCTGAACGCATTCTGCTGCTCAGAGTCATATGGCAGCATTGATATTAATCAGATATAGTTTTATGATCTCTAAATTATTTGTGTAAATACATTATGATATGAGAAAAATTTCAGATAATAGTTAGATAAATTTGATATAAGTTGTAACACGATTAGTTTTAACTTCTAATAACAGGAAAAAACAAATCAAACTTACCTTGCAATTCTTCCACCAAAACTTACTCTTAAGTTTTCCTGCTTGTTTCTCAAATTGGGAAGCTCCTTCTTCTAATGCATCTGAACCATACATTATAAATAATCTTAATAATTCATTATTATATCTACTTTTTACTACTAATAAAATGTATAAACAACATATATTGTAAAACTTACAAAGTTGACCATTTTTAGAACAAACAGTTGGTCATACATATAAGTACATATAATAATGACCTCTATATATTGTTCACTTCTCTAATTTTTATGCTTACCATTTTCAACTAACACTTGACTATATATAATGTTAACATTGAAAAGGCTATAATTGTAATTTTGAATTATCACACTATCTTTTGGAAAAGAGGTTAGTTGTGATGCTTATTTATACCATAATGTGTTACTTTTGTATAGTGAACTACATACGATGAAGGCAAATGTCACATTTTTGTGTATTTTCACTATGTTGACTGCATAGGATCAATCCTTTAGATCAGAGTTTCTCAAAGTGGGCAATAATGTCCCCTTGTGGGCGATGATTAAATCTAGGGGGCGCTGGAAGCAGTATTGAACGATGACCAAAGGTAAAATTGGGGTCACTGAAAGCCATTCCCTTTCCTCTGTTAAACTGATAACAGGAAACATTGCATTTAATGGTTTCCAGATGTTGAGAACAATGTACAGTAAGGGCACAAAGTGTGAGATTCATAGAAAAGTTTTCCTAAGAATACAGTGGTACCTTGGTATACGTCTGCTTTAGAATACGTCCAATTCGGAATACGTCCTGTTTGGACGAAACAAATTTTGCTCGGTATACGACTTTTATTCGGTATACGACATAATTCAATTATACGCGCCATCAATGAACAAATAGCACTATCGGTGTATTAGACCAGACTAGACGTTCACAGTGCAACGGTTTATAACTTTGTTAAATTTCTTCTGATTTTAATTCGTACGTAAAATTTTATTATTTTTATTAATCATGAATCGCAAAAAGGCAAATAAAAAGCGACAGAAAACTAAAAAAATGACTAGAATTACAATGGAACTGATAAAAGAGATTGTTGAGAAATACGAAGGTTGAACATTCGAGATTTTAACTGTTGCCTACCGTATTCCAAGAACGACGATATCGACAATCGCAAAAAATAAAGACATTATTAATCTGCTAACATTGCGAAAGGGGTTAAATCAATTTCTAAACAGAGATCGAAGACATTAGATCATGTCGAGAAATTGCTTTTGCTTTGGATAACTGAAAAACAGTGATGGAGACAGCGTATCGGAAGCAATTATTTGCGAGAAAGCTAAAAAGATACATGCTGATCTCACGAAAAATCAAGCAGGAACTAGCAAGGAAAGCGAGGTGTTTAAAGCCAGCCATTTTTTTTACACGAGAACGGATTAATCATTTTTACATTACTTCTTATGGGAAAGGTTGGTTTGGTATACGTCCAATTCGGTATAAGTCCAAACATCGGGAATGGATTGAGGTCGTATACCGAGGTTCCACTGTATTTCCAATCCTTTCTCACACAAGAGAAAATGGGTTAGGGGCATTGGGTATAACTTTATGGAACAAAGGGGAGGTGGATCAAAAAAGTTTGGGAATCACTGCTTTAGGTTATCAACATAGAGAGAGGTTTTACTATAATTTACATCAAATGAGAATTTAATATCAATACATAAAGACTACAATTGGCAAATAAGTGACAAAATTTTAAAAAATACAAAGAGACAATTCATATACATCAGGAATGACCAATGCATTGGCCACAGTCTACTAGTTGATCAGCAAGCTGTGAGTGTTAGCCAGCAGTGGTCTGTGTCATATTGTCTGTATTGAAAATTGTTGTTGTTTGACTCCCTCTAGTAGGCTAGTGAACAAACAACTCTATCTACAACTGACTTGTAGCAAATTGTTAGGCAGTATAAGTATTTTTCTTCTTTCTTTTTATTTTTCTTTTAATCTAAGCAAATAAGCTTGGTTTTAAACAGGAGTAAAACAATTTTCTGAATACTGACAAAATACTTCATATAGACAGTTGTAACCATATTCTCATGATCCTGAGAATATGGTTATAACTGTCTATGTGAAGTATTTTGTCAGTATTCAGAAAAATTGTTTTAATCCTTTATAACAAAAAGGATTTTTCATTAAAAATGATCCTGAACAAACAAGTGAATTTTATTTTTCAGAATAGTTTTTAAATACAATATTCAATATTTCCTAGTAAACATTATAGTTAATTAAAAAAGATTGATCTATTATTTCAATCACTACATCATTAAAAACATCATTAATAATTTATATACGGTTACTGTGTAAATAAACAGTTTGATTTTGAAATAGATTATAAATAATATAATTATGAAAACAGAAAAACATAATTTCTTAGTTATTTTAAAAAATAATATATACCTGCACTTTCTTGTAACTCTGACAATTTCTTATCTCTTTCCAAAACCTTTTCCACATTTGTACGCATAATATCCACTACCTGAAAAATTTTAATTATAATTATTATTATTATTATTATTTTGAACATATTTATCTTAATCAAATAATTTAATTAAAAATATTAAAAGGAAATATTTTATTTGTGTGTATAATAGTCCATTTACATATATTATAATTTTAATAAAACAACTCTGCATAACGTATAAAAAATAATTTTATACTTAAGATTTACTTGAAATTTTAACTGTACTTCCATCATTACTAAGTTACAAATTAGAATGTATGAGTAAAATTCAGGAAAATAAATAAATAGTTAATATATTAATTACTTGACATGACAAGTAACATTTGATTTGTGACAGATACTTTTAAAGTTTTTTTTTTTTTGTTTGCTAAATTAGCAAATTTTAATAAAACAACTCTGCATAACGTATAAAAAATAATTTTATACTTAAGATTTACTTGAAATTTTAACTGTACTTCCATCATTACTAAGTTACAAATTAGAATGTATGAGTAAAATTCAGGAAAATAAATAAATAGTTAATATATTAATTACTTGACATGACAAGTAACATTTGATTTGTGACAGATACTTTTAAAGTTTTTTTTTTTTTGTTTGCTAAATTAGCAAGTTCAAATACATATCCGGAAATGAAGGAAATTTTTTGTTATGTACTCTTGTTTACAGCACTAATTTAATTTAATTTAGCTAAGTGTAACTCTACAAAGCTAAAATAGCTTATAAATGTAAAGAGAATTTTAACTGACATATGAAATTCAATTTTTTTATATTCCTCAACTCTTAATTTTATTCAAATAGACTACATTAACAAAACATACAAGTTTAATACATGTAGCATATTCATGCTAAAATATAGGTCTAATTGAAAAAGTTTTTTCAAAATATCCAGATGTTAAAACTAATATATATTGTGTTATCATATATTAAATAAAATCAGCTAGTTTAAATCCTGTTCTAGATTCTTCTTTATTATTCATTTAAAAGTCTGAATAATCCAATGTTTAAAATTATTACGACATTAAGCATTAAAATAAGTTATGATATCATTTGGCTTAGCCACATGGGTGTGACCTACTGTGGAGAGACTTAACAATTACACTGTATTTACTATTTTATGAAAATTATTACTACTCTATAACCAATAATTAAGCTTTACTGATCTATAGTTAAAAATTTCAGTAAAGTGATAAATTACTTTACTGAAATTTTTAACTATAAAATGTGGTTGTTATATAGTTTTAACATTGTAATCATTTGCATATGAAAAATATTTTATATTACAAATATACGACTAAATTGTAAAACAAAACAATTTTCATCATACCAGTAACTACCATAGATAAACACTAATACATAAAATAATTTCTTATTAACCAAGTTATATATAATTTACCTAAATTTGAACAATTTTACAGATAATAAATTATATTTGATTAATCCAATCAATATAAAAAAATTCAATAATCAATAAATCAATATACAGTGCACATAAACACACACAACTGTATGCATATATTGACCGATTCTATAGGTAAAACATTCTTTGATTTTATATTAATAAAAAATTAAATGCATTTTTACTAAATTAGATTTTACCATATCTTATTTGCTTCATGAAAAATAATTTAATGCAAATGATCAATTTTTATCTGAAAAACTACTGAATTAAAATAAAATAAAAAACATTGAATTGCATTTTAATTATTGTAATGCAGAGATTTGTTACTTTTAAGATAAAGTATTTTAAAATTACAATTTAAAAACAGACTCCAATAAAACAGTTTTCTAATTATCAATGCAATTTCCTTATCAGCACCAACGAATGAAATTTGCAACAATTTCATTTTTTTGTTTCTGATAAGAATTTATTGATGATATTTATAAATTACACTTAAACAATTGAAAAAATGGTTCTCTGTTAAAACATGATCAGGAAACATTCTTATCTTAGTTAAGAACTTAGCTTATTCAGAAATATTCAGATTGTGTATATTAAAGAATTTTAATAACACACATTTAATGTGTATCTATAAAACATTTTTAAAACACCAAATTTTTTTAATTGCACTGATTTCTGATTTGTAAGTAATGTATTATACAGTACGATCATGTCTCTCTGCAGTAGGTAGGGAAACAGGAGGAACTTCTTGGAATGAAGTAATGATGTCATATGCAGACTGTGTGTCAAAAGCATTAAAGTTAGTTATGACATCATCATTCGGCTGAGCCATATGGGTGTGGTACACTGTGGAGAGACTACATTCAAACTGTATTTACTATTTTATCAAAATTATTATTATTCTATAACCAATAATCACTATACTGAAATTTTTAACTACAAAATGTGGTTGTTATATTGTTTTAACAGTAATCATTTGCACATGAAAAAATGACAAATATATGACTAAATCATAAAACAAAATATATAACAACCAATTACATAATTTTTTAACTAGAAATTTAAATAAAAATTATTTAATTTTGTAGTACAAAGTAATTATGTACATAAAAAAATTAAATTGCATCCAATTCTGTTTTTACATAATAGATATGTTCTAAAAAAATCCATGTAAAAAAAACAGCAAAAAAAAATACTGTCATTGTGGAAAAGTAGAAGATTGATTCTATACCTTAAAAATTAGTAAAAATAATACAATAAATCCATGAATTCAATAAGATATGTTTAAACAAAATATTTCAATTTTACTTAATACAAGGAAGTACTGTACAACTGCTAAGTTAAAAAATAGTTTCGATATTATGTAATATAATTATGTAATATGTATAATTATGTAACAATTATGCCATAATTAAAGAATGTGATTTGGTTGTATTTGAATTCAAGAATTGTCGAAACTATTTTTTAACTTAGCACTAAAGGAACAAAAATATACATTGTTCTAAAATGCATTTGTAACAGTAAGTTAAACTAATAAAGTCATCATCGTTGAACATCTTTGGATGTTCAAAGTGATGTACTGAAATTCTCAAATTTACTTGAAAGGTTTACAGAGAAAAAAAAGATAGAATTTCAGCACCCCTTAACCACATTGTAGAGTAACTTATTTATCAGCTAAACTTAATAAATTTAATTTGAACATTTTTATATTCAATTTTTTCAATTAAAATACCAAAATAACCCTAATTTTTAACACTAAATAACACACAAGAACTAGTCTGCATTGAAAGAAATCTTAAAATGCAATCATATAAACAAATCATAAAGCTTTAATTTAAAACTTTTCTTACTGTTGAAATCACAAGATAAAATCAGAATGAAAAACTGATTGTCGCTACACATGTACAGTACATACAAGTTGTAAAAAAAATAGCCAAATCTTAAAATTTACTTCAGCATGTGTAGCAATATTCCTTGAATTTGTTTTTAGAAAAGAAAGAGTAATTTTATAGTAAAGAAAGTATTTTTTCGTAAATAACTAAAATAAAGATTTTTTCTTTTTTAAATTTATTGAAACATGTTAGATCCAAACAAATTGTGTAAAAAGAAGGTTGAGTATATTCTATATATGAATATAATCTAAAATGTTAAACTATTAACTAATAATGAACTTATCGCACATTATGAGCAATACCTGAAGTCAAATGTAATGAGAATCAGTTAATTAAAAAAATAAAAGGAGAGTAAAAGAGAAAGCTAATGATTTTTATTTCTACAAGATATGAGTTCATATCATATTTGGCAATATACTGGGTGATCAAAAGAGTTAACTTACAAGAAATAGAATGATGAGTTTGGTTATGCCAATTCACAGCATTACTGAACTTACTCTATACCAGGGGTGGGCAAGCAAGAGTTCAGTGAGAACCAAAATGAAGGTTTTGCAAAATGCATGGAAACCACAATTCTGCACTTTTTTATTCTGTACCACAGTTCTGTACTGCAATTTTATTATATAATATAAATATAATATAAAACAAATATTGAATTAATAAACATATTTTCACAAAATTGTGGAAATAAAACTGTAAAAATAATAATAAAAAGCAGAAATTAACACCTTCAGCAAAAGCTGCAAGTAACTCAAAAAGATCTGCATTTGCCCATGTCTGCTTTATACTAATAGTCAGTGATATATATAGTGACTATCCATCCTTCATTTAAGAGGACAGGCCTTTATTTCACCACACTGTCCTTCAGATTTACTTTTTCTTTAAAATGGTCATTTTGTCTTTTTTTTTAAATTGAATATCAACACCCACAAGGCACCAATAGTTATCTTATCAAATTTATTTTACACAATTTATAAATTTTACAAAACCTGTATTGATTATTTAAATAGTTGGAACAGCTTTTTCATGGAAATGAAAATATTTGAACATGTCCTACTACAAAAACCCTCTGTTGGAAAAGATCAAGGAAAATGTCTTGTAGGAACTAAAATATAAATGACAATGAACTAACAATGACAAAGTTTCATGTATTAAACATTATGTCACCAGTGAAAAGATATAAGAATGTCAACAAAACAATAGGTCCTTCCAATGTGGATGGGTAGCCAAATGGTTAAGGTCTCTGATCCTGGATCCCAATGCCTATTGCTGTGGAGGATCCAGGATTGAATCCAGATGGGTTGAAAAGCCACAGGAATTTTTTGGGGATGGTCTATCTGAATATGTCAGGCTCTGTCCCTCACCACTGGGCCTCCCCATTGTAAACCTGATAAAACCCATAATGGGCATGCTAAAAAGAGGCCCTCTTAGTACCCACAGAATGAAGAGAATTAAAATAAAATGTAGACAGGTTAAAATTTTCAAATATTTCACAGATAAACACTTACCTTTTAAAACCATTTTAAAAATCGTTGAAATTTGCTTACGCCTCCCTGAATCTAATACCCCCACTGAACAAGTACATTCATTAATGAACAATTTGTGGACCAGTGAAAAAACCCAATTACAAATCAAAATGTTGGAAGCATGCATTTATAAGAAAGGCAACTTTGACATGAATTGTATATAGTTTTAAATTTTTAAAAACAAACCTGATTTACTAAGTTCATTCTTGTGAAAAGTATTAAAATTAATTTAAAAAATAAAATAAATATAATTGTTTAAAATACTATGTATATGCTTATATTTTATAATAAATGTTTTAAGCTTTTTAGTTTTAATGAAAAAAATAAATGCAACATGTTTTTTTTTTATTATGAAACAATTTCTGATTTGTCTTTTATTTTTATTTATTTTTTGAGAAAAGAGTCAATGTAATGATGTATGTTGAGCTGTTTAAGTGTTACAATAGATAAATATGCCTTATATTACAAAACAGAGAAAATCATAATGGAAAGTTACATAATGAAGCAAAGTTACTAAAAATTAAAGCATTTGTGTAAAAACATCTCAAATCAACCTGCCCAAAAAGACTTAAGTTTATCCAAATAGTATGTGTATATCACTATATCTCTAACTGCACTACTATAATTAACCAAAATACTCAGAAACCTTTATAATGCAGTCTATTTTGTTAATGTACCAAACGTTTTCGGTCAAATTAACTGACCTTCCTCAGGATCGAACCAAAAAATTTAATTTGACCGAAAATGTTTGGCACGTTAACAAAATAGACTGCATTATAAAGGTTTCTGAGTATTTTGGTTTAGTATGTGTATATATAACAAAAAAAAAACTGCCAAAACAAAAAGTTTTGATAAAGGACTGATATATTCAGACATGCTTAGGAGGCAATGCATTTATCTCAAGAGAATGGAATATATATAATTCTGTCCACATAGCTGTAAAAAGAATCAAATATCAGTCTTATAACAGTAGTATTTTTTTTTTGATTCTGATGAAACCGTGTTGTTGTTATTAAGCTGTTTCTTTGCAGACACACTAAGGTGACATATATCAACACTTGGCAACTTATTGACTATTTATTCAGTTCCAACTGAATAAATAGTCAATAAGTTGCCAAGTGTTGATATATGTCACCTTAGTGTGTCTGCAAAGAAACAACAAAGTAGTATTTTTATTTATTTATTTAAAGTTTAAAATTTCCTTCAAGTCTTGTAAATAAATATTTAAGTAGTAAAAAATTCTTCTCACAACATACAAACAAGGCAGTAACTAGCATGGCTGACTCAAAGCAGTGTTAAATTTCTTGTTCTACTTTCATTTAATCACCCAGTAGAATCATAATTCCAAATATAATTTATAAATTACATGCTGGTATTTAAACTATTTATTACAAAAATAATTTTATAAATATACCTCATCAACTTGGGCTTGCTGTTGTTGTATCCGTTTCTGAGCAGCCACATGTTGAGGATTAGGTGGTCTAGGTTCATCTGCACCTTCTGTATTTTCTCCTCCTTCTGGTGGTGGAGCTGCTGACCTACATTGATAAAAAAAATTACCTTAGAATTTTTTATTATTCAAATATACCAGAAAATACTTTAAAATAATCTCCAATTTTCCATTTAATTAATACATTATTATTTCATCAAAATTCATAATGTACACAAATGAAAATTTCTATCACAGGCTTGGCTTGTCTTTCTCAAGCTGGACTTACTCTCAAAATAATTTTTGCTAGGATCAGATAAAATCTGAAAGTTCACTATCTTTAAAATAATTTGGGTTAAAATCAGAAAACTGGAATTTCTTCATATTGATATATTTTATTTATGAGTAACAAGAAAATAAAATAATCAAGAGATGTAATAATGTTCTAAGACAATTATATAGAATATTCCCTATATATACAGCAGATAGAGCAGACTTAAGGGTGCACAGGGCATAGCTGCATCTCTCTTTAAATGGTTTTTCCTGAGGTAACATAGAAAAAAAAAAACTATCTGAAGGCTGGATACATCAGGTAGTAAAAATTTAAGGTATATTGTTTCCTTTCTGCACCTTCCTCTTAAAGATTTCTGGATTTGCTATTGTATATAAAATATACATATCCTTCACTTAAAGACTGCTTACATAATAACTTTTGAAAAGTTATACCACCTTTTGGGCAAAAACTCAATTTTATATATATATATTTCATGCCAAACAATTGCCAAATTATATCAGGCTATATTACTACTACTATTATTAATTAAACTATCAATTCCCCTGTCAAGCATGATGAAATATGTTTTATGAGAAAGTAGAAAGTGAAGAATTGAGAAGAGTAGAGATTTATAGGAATTCAAGAAGAGTTAGTATAAACTATCAATACTTAATTTGTAGAAATAATAATATCTGTTATAACAAAGAGCAACAAAACAAAGTTACACTGGAGTGAACAAAAATAGTAGAAGTTACAGAGAATTCACTTCCATACACAATAGATTTAGGGCTTTAGATTAAAATAATACTAAAATCTTTCATTATAAAATTTTTTGTAATGAGTAAACACACTATTGTCTTTTAAAAGATTTCCTTGATGTCTTCCTTTAGTAGTAAAGACTTTAATATTGTTTTGATGATTGACATTGTAATGCTTTTTCTGTAGCCCTTGTCAAAGCCATTCTTGTTCAATGTTGCTCAAGTCAAACTTCACGACCTTCATGGGTCTCGGTTTTCTTATCCTTTTAGATATAGAATTTACCTGACCAATTTTACTCTTATGCTTTCCCAAATGCATGCTTTTTTTTTGGGACAAAATAGCAAGCCTTTTTAATTCCATGTTAAAAAAACAAAGATAAATTGTATGTATGTTAGTTAGATGAGTGATAACACTCTAAATAACAGATTTGTTAGATTGTTACTTCTGATTGGATAACAGAACGTCACGTGATCACCAAGGAATAATTTGTTATAGAAGTGACAATGCAGTTATCTTTTTTTAAAGTTTAAAATTTAATGAAGTAAGTTTATTTGCCAAAATAAAATGCAACTTAAGATAAATTCCCTTGTCAAGCATAAATTAAATGAGGTCACTGACACCTCGGCAACGTAAGTGCCATCACCGATCGGAAATTGATAAAACGTTTATTCTATAGCTAATATTTCTACAAAATGAGTAGTCTATACTTAGTCAGAACATAAAACAAAAATAACGTTTATTCTATAGCTAATATTAATTATATTCGACTCACCAAATAAACCATATCCAGTTCATAATCTCAGTAGAAAAATTCTTTTTACGAACGTTTTCGTCTATATGTAATAGACATCATCAGGTATTAACGATATCGAACTAACGGCTAGTAGAATAGAATGTTTTTGAAAGTTCCGTTTAACGACGTAATTCGAATATGATGCGTTAAAATTAAAAATATGTAAAATTTAAAACATATCCAAATAAATAAATAATTGATTTCACGCAGATCATGACATAAATATCCTCCGTAATTTAAAATATCTTCAATGCGCGTTTTAATCATTGGGATTTAATTCAAACATGGCGCGCCATGCTACTGAAAGCGTATCGGTTTCTTTGAAATTAATAGCGACCCCTTTTTTAATTGCCTTATATATCTCCAGCGACTCGAGGTACTTGAGTTGTGCCTTATCCGATACTTTGTGCAGTAATTTAGCGTTTTGTAGATGAACATGAACGTCATCATCATTTGCATATGTCGCTAGTGCCGTCGTGGTCAGCTTTTTTCTTATCGAGTATTCATGCTCTTTCATCCTCATGGCGAGACCTCTTGCGGTAGCTCCAATGTATGTTAAAGCACGGTCAACTCGGTGATCTTGAAGAGGAACCGCATAAACGCCTGGAGAGTTAGAATCTTTTATACGGTTTTTATCATTTCTGATAAGAGAGAAGATTGTAGGAGAGCGTCGATATGCTAGGTGTACTTTAGTAGTCCTTGCAATCTCTCTATATATATTAGTAAGTGTTTTGTTGTATGTGATAACCCCCATTTGTTCGTCTTGTGGCATATTTTTCTTTCTCGTATTTATGTATTGTTTTACGAGATGCTTGACCAAAGAGGACGGGTATCCATGTTGTGTTGCAAGGGCCTTGATCCTTGACAATTCATTCTCCTTTTCACTTTGCTCCAAACAATGTGTGTGCGCCCTTTTTACCAACGCTCGAAAAGCAGAGACTTTGTAAGAATAAGGGTCATGTGACCAGTTATGTATAAATAGAGATGCATATGAGTCCTTACGGTACACACAGGTGGAAAGTCGACCTTGTTCCATTTTGATGGCAATATCCAAAAAGTGTACAGTCGTCTGACTCTCCTGTTCAACTTTCAATGTCAGGCCATACAGGTTATCGTTAAAATATTTAAGTACCAAATCAATGCTGGGTACCTTGTTCCATACGATGAGTACGTCATCGATGTACCTGACATACAATGCTATGTCCTCTTGAAATCTGGGTAATACGGTATTCTCGTGTTTTCTGATCACTAATTCACAGAGTGTTCCTGATATTGGGCTGCCCATCGGCACGCCCCTTGTTTGTATGTAAGTGACCCCTTCATATTCGAAGAAGGACGAGTGGACCATCAAGTGTGTTAAATCCAACACATCCGGGAGATACTTATAAGAGCCTTCCACCTTTGCCAGAAGAAAATCTCTCAACTCACAGAAACAGGGTTCCAGTTTTATGGATGGGAACAATGTTTGATAGTCACATATTGTGAAATATGCCACCGATGACTTGTTGAGGTCCCGTAATTTTTGAAGTACTTCTTCAGGACTAGTGACCGTGTACGTATGATCCTCTAAACTGTTAGTGATGTATTTGTTAAGAATTCTCTCCATTTTAACAGTGGGAGAAGTCGTTTTATCCACCACGGCCCATAACTGTTGTCCGCTCTTATGGGTTTTTGCGAATGCAAATATACGAGGTAGAGATGGCGCCATAACTCTCGTTGCCGCCAGATTCAAAGTATTGCGATCTTCAACGTCTTGGCTGATATTTTCTCAAGAAAACCGCTAGGCGCTACTGTGCATTCCGTGAAAGAATGTAAGAAAAAGAACGTGTAAGAAAAAAGCTGACCACGACAACACTAGTGACATATGCAAATGATGATGACGTTCATGTTCATCTACAAAACGCTAAATTACTGCACAAAGTATCGGATAAGGCACAACTCAAGTACCTCGAGTCGCTGGAGATATATAAGGCAATTAAAAAAGGGGTCGCTATTAATTTCAAAGAAACCGATACGCTTTCAGTAGCATGGCGCGCCATGTTTGAATTAAATCCCAATGATTAAAACGCGCATTGAAGATATTTTAAATTACGGAGGATATTTATGTCATGATCTGCGTGAAATCAATTATTTATTTATTTGGATATGTTTTAAATTTTACATATTTTTAATTTTAACGCATCATATTCGAATTACGTCGTTAAACAGAACTTTCAAAAACATTCTATTCTACTAGCCGTTAGTTCGATATCGTTAATACCTGATGATGTCTATTACATATAGACGAAAACGTTCGAAAAGAATTTTTCTACTGAGATTATGAACTGGATATGGTTTATTTGGTGAGTCTAATATAATTAAAATTAAATAAGCAGTTTTTGAAATACAGCTAGTATACTATACTATAGCTAATATACTAACGTTTATTCTATAGCTAATATTTCTGCAAAATGAGTAGTCTATACTTAGAACATAAAACAAAAATAACCAAAATTTCATCTGGATTGGACAAAAATTGCAAGAGTTATAAGGAATTGTCAGGTTCCAAAGACCGGTTGAAATTAAACATTTATTATAGAAATTTATTAAAACAAAACTAGAGGGAAAAAACCTCCATTGTTAAAACTAGTGTTGTAACGAATAGTATATTCGGCCTCAGGCCGAATACCGAATATTTCAGCCAAGAGCGTGGCCAAATAGCCGAATATTCGGCCAAACTATTCGGCTTGATTAACGCATGTACGAAAATTAGCGCGCAAACCGCATTATGGCAAGGATCCTGCTCTCTATTGGCCCGCTGTCACTACGCTTCGCCAATCGCGTTAATTCTTGGCAGTTGTAGCGGACAGACAACAGTATCATGGAAGTATGTGATAAATGATGATATCAAATGTGTATAACAATGAAATGACCTACACATGTAAATAACGGAAAAAGAACAGAGAAGGACCGCGAAGTGAAAATGTGAAAATAAATATGAAATTGAGTTGATAACATAACGAACAAGTTGAGGCAGCTTATTGGCATGAAATTTGCGGCCGTCAATGCCAAACAATTGTTGTCATAGACTTCGGAAAGCTAAATGCTTGTAATGAAAGTCACTTAGCGTGCACGAGCGAAAGCCTGGGGTCGTTCGGGCTACCAAGCTGTTTCGAATCTGTGAAATCATAACTGTGACTTATACCGACGTCCTATCAGTCTCTTTCCTCCGTTATCACCAGGCTGAGTCACATAATTGTAAAATGGGAACTCTACGACGGAAAAGTGACGAATCGAAAGTATC